AACTTACCCCCGAGTCCCAAAGCAAGACACGTCCACAGAATCAGGGGATTCATCTTTTCCACGGATGTGTCGCTGGCTTGACGAGAGACCAACGTCAGTGGCTCCATATTGTGGCTCAACTATTGCCACTGTATGAAAACAAGTACGAATCGACCGGCCTGAGAGATGTACACAATTTTGACCTCAGGAATGCATCCAATTGCAACGCAATTAAAGGAGTCATCAACCCTCACTTCCTCCATTGACCTCATTATATTCTGGTTCCCGACCCCATTGTCTTTCGGACAACAAGCATGGGGACAGGTTAGCTAGCGGCGAATTTTGCATACATCAGGAGGTATCCTCCTGATGTATGCAAATCATACGCATGACGTGTATACAGGTCTGAACCCCGCCTTCTGAATTCAAAATCACAACGGTAATGTTTGCCAGCAACCAGGCTATTGCAAATGGCAATAGACCGCGCCACAAATATACATTTCGGAGGTGATGAGCTTCGATTTTTGCTGAACGCAAAAGTGTCCATCAATAAAGAGAGAGAAATTACCAGTGGCGTAAATCTGGTCATGGGGTGTACAACTGAAATGTATAGTAACAACGATAATGTATCTCACCAACCGATGACACATACACGGACCAATACGTATCACTAAACCGATAATGTCAAGAAATTGACGATAGTGTAGTAAAAATGTGCTACGCTATCAGTCGATGTTGTTACATTTTCCGCCTTAACCGATAATGTAACAAATAATGACCGATAGCGTAGTAACATTTACTACACTATCGGTCAATTTCTGTTACATTATCGGTTAGTGAACAGTACCGATCAATTTGTGTGACATTATCGGTTGGTGATACATTATCCGTTGGTTACTACATTATCCGTTCTAACAATGGGGAATGACCAAAATCCAAAAATTGCAAATCGAAAGAGGGGGAGGGCTTGACACCACATTATATTGGGGAAGGGGGGGGGGGCTCTTCAGCATATAGATGTATATCAATAGGAAACAGGTGAGAACAAAATAAACACCAAAAATTGTATTCATATTTAAGGGCCTAGAACGCATTCCAAATCGATTGCAGAACAAATGTGCTGTTAAAGGGGAATTTCCGTCGAAAAATGAAGGTAAAAATCGATGAAAAATTAACTTATTTTTCTCGAAAAATTGTTTATTTTTCCCAAATCCTTGAAATTATGCGTTTAGAGTATCGATATCGATGTTTTTCCTCTTGCATCCATTTGCAAATTTGAAAGTTGCTAGAAAGATGCCTCAAGGGCCAAGCAACGCATTCCAGATCGATTGCAGGACAGATGTGCTATTAAAGGGGATTTCCGTCGAAAAATTAAGGTAAAATCGCTCAAAATTAATTTTTTCTCGAAAAATTGTTTATTTTTGCCAAATCCTTAAAAATGCGTGTAGAGTATCGATTAATGTTCCTCTTGCATCCAGATGAATTTCTGCCTTGTTTGACAAAAGTCCATTTTTGGCGCATACAGAAACCGGAGACTTTTTTTTTTGGCTAACCCCTTGGTTTTTTTAATTTTGGCAAAAAAAAGAAATTTCTGGAAAGTGCTAGAAAGATGCCTGAGGGCCCTAGAACGCATCCCAAATCGATTGCAGGACGAATGTACTGTTAAAGGGGAAATTTCTCTTGAAAAAAATTAAGGAAAATGCTGAAAAGTAAACTTTTTTTTTCTCGAAAAATGTTTAATTGTTTGCTCAAATCCTTAAAATAATGCGTGTTAGAGTATCGATTAATGTTCCTCTTGCATCCAGATGAATTTCTGCCTTGTTTTGATTCATTTTAATGCGTCATATGCGAGATATTTTGTCGACCAGGACTATCGTTTCTGTGCAAAAGTTAGGCAAATGATCTGTTTGGAGTGCAACTGCAGCCTATCCCCGATTTTTCTCCGTTTTTGCACAAGACACTGTTGAGGAAGAGAAAAACAATATTTGTCTAAATCTTCTGTCTTTTTTGTCTGTTTTAATGATTATTAATCTGACAGAATTCAATGAATGCGTCACTCAATTTTGGAGATATTTTGTCGACCAGCACTATCGTTTCTGTGCAAAAGTGCGGCAAATGATCTGTTTGGACTGCAACTGCAGCCTATCCCCCATTTTTCTCGGTTTTTGCAAAAGACACTGTTGAGAAGAGAAAAACAATATTTCGTCTAATCTTCTGTCTTTTTTTTCTATTTTTAATGATTAATAATCTGGCCAGAATTCATTTTAATGCGTCACTGAATTTTGGAGATATTTTGTCCCCAGACTATTGTTTCTGTGCAAAAGTGAGGCAAATGATCTGTTTGGAGTGCCACTGCAGCCTATCCCCAATTTTTCTCGATGTTGCACAAGACACTGTTGAGGAAGAGAAAAACAATATTTTTTCTAAATCTTCTGTCTTTTTGTCTATTTTTAATGATTAATAATCTGGCCAGCATTCATTTTAATGCGTCACTCAATTTTGGAGATATTTTGTCGACGACCACTATCATTTCTGTGCAAAAGTGAGGCAAATGATCTGTTTGGACTGCAACTGTAGCCTATCCCCAATTTTTCTCGGATTTTGCACAAGACACTGTTGAGGAAGAGAAAAACAATATTTTGTCTAAATCTTCTGTCTTTTGGTCTATTTTTAATGATTAATAATCTGGCCAGAATTCAATTTAATGCGTCACTAGATTTTTGGAGATATTTTGTCGACCAGGACTATCGTTTCTGTGCAAAAGTGATGCAAATGATCTGTTTGGACTGCAACTGCAGCCTATCCCATTTTTTTTCTTTTTGGAAAAGACACTGTTGAGAAGAGAAGAAAACAAATATTTGTCTAAATCTTCTGTCTTTTTTTGTCTATTAATGATTAATAATCGGCCAGAATTCAATTTAATGCGTCACTAGATTTTTGGAATATTTTGTCGACCAGGACTATCGTTTCTGTGCAAAAGTGAGGCAAATGATCTGTTTGGACTGCAACTGCAGCCTATCCCCCATTTTTTCTCCGTTTTGGCACAAGACACTGTTGAGGAAGAGAAAAACAATATTTTGTCTAAATCTTCTGGTTTTTTGTCTATTTTTAGTGATTAATAATCTGGCCAGAATTCATTTGAATGCGTCACTCAATTTGGAGATATTTTGTCGTCCAGGGCTATTGTTTCTGTGCAAAAGTGAGGTAAATGATCTGTTTGGAGTGCCACTGCAGCCTATCCCCCAATTTTTCTCGGTTTTTGCACAAGACACTGTTGAGGAAGAGAAAAACAATATTTTGTCTAAATCTTCTGTCTTTTTTGTCTATTTTTAATGATTAATAAATCGGCCAGAATTCATTTTAATGCGTCACTGAATTTTGGAGATATTTTGTCACCAGGACTATTGTTTCTGTGCAAAAGTGAGGCAAATGATCTGTTTGGAGTGCCACTGCAGCCTATCCCCAATTTTTCTCGGTTTTTGCACAAGACACTGTTGAGGAAGAGAAAACAATATTTTGTCTAAATCTTCTGTCTTTTTGTCTATTTTTAATGATTAATTATCTGGCCAGAATTCATTTTAATGCGTCACTGAATTTTGGAGATATTTTGTCGACCACCACAACATTTCTGTGCAAAAGTGAGGCAAATGATCTGTTTGGACTGCAACTGCAGCCTATCCCCCAATTTTCTCCGTTTTTGCACAAGACACTGTTGAGGAAGAGAAAAACAATATTTTGTCTAAATTTCTGTCTTTTTGGTCTATTTTTAATGATTAATAATCTGGCCAGAATTCAATTGAATGCGTCACTGAAATTTGGAGATATTTTGTCGACCAGGACTATCGTTTCTGTGCAAAAGTGAGGCAAATGATCTGTTTGGAGTGCAACTGCAGCCTATCCCCAATTTTTCTCGGTTTTTGCACAAGACACTGTTGAGGAAGAGAAAAACAATATTTTGTCTAAATATTCTGTCTTTTTGGTCTATTTTAATGATTAATGATCTGGCCAGAATCATTTAATGCGTCACTGAATTTTGGAGATATTTTGTCGACCAGCACTATTGTTTCTGTGCAAAAGTGAGGCAAATGATCTGTTTGGAGTGCCACTGCAGCCTATCCCCAATTTTTCTCGGTTTTTGCACAAGACACTGTTGAGGAAGAGAAAAACAATATTTTGTCTAAATTTCTGTCTTTTTTGTCTATTTTTAATGATTAATAATCTGGCCAACAATCATTATAATGCGTCACTGAATTTTGGAGATATTTTGTCGACCAGGACTATCGTTTCTGTGCAAAAGTGAGGCAAATGATCTGTTTGGACTGCAACTGCAGCCTATCCCCCATTTTTCTCCGTTTTGGCACAAGACACTGTTGAGGAAGAGAAAAACAATATTTGTCTAAATCTTCTGTCTGCTTTGTCTATTTTTAATGATTAATAATCTGCCGGAATTCAATTTAATGCGTCACTGAATTTTGGAGATATTTGTCGACCAGGACTATTGTTTCTGTGCAAAAGTGAGGCAAATGATCTGTTTGGACTGCAACTGCAGCCTATCCCCCATTTTTCTCCGTTTTGGCACAAGACACTGTTGAGGAAGATAAAAACAATATTTTGTCTAAATCTTCTGTCTTTTTTGTCTATTTTTTATGATTAATCATCTGGCCAGAATTCATTTAATGCGTCACTAAATTTTGGAGATATTTTGTCCACCAGCACTATTGTTTCTGTGCAAAAGTGAGGCAAATGATCTGTTTGGAGTGCCACTGCAGCCTATCCCCAATTTTTCTCGGTTTTGCACAAGACACTGTTGAGGAAGAGAAAAACAATATTTTGTCTAAATCTTCTGTCTTTTTTGTCTATTTTAATGATTAATGATCTGGCCAGAATTTAATTTTAATGCGTCACTGAAATTTGGAGATATTTTGTCCACCAGAACTATTGTTTCTGTGCAAAAGTGAGGCAAATGATCTGTTTGGAGTGCAACTGCAGCCTATCCCCCAATTTTTCTCGGTTTTGCACAAGACACTGTTGAGGAGAGAAAAACAATATTTTGTCTAAATCTTCTGTCTTTTGTCTATTTTTAATGATAAAAATCTGGCCAGCAATCAATTAATGCGTCACTGAATTTTGGAGATATTTTGTCGACCAG